AGTTGCTGCTCAGGAGCTATGTCCCCACAAGAGCTGTATGTGACCTCCAGGTGACCCCACCCCAGCCTCTGCCCCGTGGCTTCTATCCTGCCATGTTCACATGCAGCCCAAAGGCCCCCAACACCCCCTGTGCGGCCCCATGCAGCCAGCCCCCCACGTTGGCCAACACCCCCTGTGCGGCCCCATGCAGCCAGCCCCCCACGTTGGCCAACACCCCCTGTGCGGCCCCATGCAGCCAGCCCCCCATGCTGGCCGACCTCCAGGGCTGTGGGAGCCTCTCAGTGAGAGAAGGCGGGGCCCTGGGGGACGCTGAGGCTCAGTTGCTGCTCAGGAGCTATGTCCCCACAAGAGCTGTATGTGAGTCCCACTCCCAGAGCCTCCTCGGTCGCCGTCTGCAGAGACCTGGGCTCCAGAGAAGGGAGACACCCGGGGCTGAGCCCACGGTCAACCCCCTCACCTCTGGGGGCTCAGGAGCCTTCCGTGGGCACTGCCTGGAGGTCTTTCCAAAATACATAGATGGCTTCCCGGAGCTGCTCCCCCTCCCACGTCGTTATGCCCTGAGGGCGGCGCCCAGAGTGGAAGGCCGGCCAGCCAGGCGGGAGGAAGCAGGTGGGAGCGCGGCTGCGTGTGCAGGTTTCCGTGAGAAGCTCCAGTTAAACGGAGTCACTCCGTCAGTGATGCGAACCCGCGAGAGGAGGCCATGGGGAGTGAGCAGGCCCCGCGGTGCAGAGGACCAAGCAGGCGGGCTGGAACGACTGTTCCCCGGCCTCCCCTTCACCTGAGCCCTGGGAACAGTCATTAAATCACCCTGGGTCAGAGGCAGCTGCCTGACTGATGGTTATTCGGAAAAGCAGGCTCAGCTCTTCTGTAACTTTAACCTCGTAACACCTTAAGTAGTCGGATAATTATGTTGGGGCACTTTTTCATTTCTGGGCTTGTTGAGAGGTTTTTATTGATTTTAGAGAGAGGGTAAGGGAGAGCTAGAAACACCAATCGGCTGCCTCCTGCACGTCCCCCACTGGGGACCGAGCCCACCACCCAGGCATGTGCCCTGACTGGGAACCGAACCTTAACCAACTGGTTGATGTGTCAACACTCAACCACTGAGCCACTCTGGCTGGGCTGGGATCTTTTTTGAAATTGTGGGTGTTAAATGTGTTATAACCACAGTCACATGACCAGTGGCTTAGTTGCCTCGATGAGCAACTGGTAGGACGTCTTCCCAGCAGACATTCTGGCAACCCTTCCCCCCATAGGAGGTATAAGAGGTTTGAAAAGTTACCACCAAAGTCTTACCCCCTCCCCCCCAAAAAAACCACAAAAACACCACTCACTCGCTTGTAAAATTACATTATTCTCAGAGGACAATGCACCCGCAAATCCAGCCACTGTGATGATCAAAACGAAGCACCCAAATTCATAAACTTGAAGAGTGAGTTCAAACAGCAGAGTAAACACGGCCACTTATTTACCCGTTTTCCTTCTCTTTGGCCCAAGTAAATCAAATGCCGGGGTTCTCACTTGTGGGTCCCCCGAGGCGGCTGGCTGTGTGGGGGCCGCGATCACCCACGCCGGGTGTGCGGAGCGGCAGACACAGAGCCTTGCAGACCCCGTCGGCCTCGAGGTCAGCAGCAGGCGCCCGGGGCAGCTGCTCGGAGCAGCACAGGCCCAGGACTTGCCCTCTGTGACCTTTAACCCCTGGGGTCACTGGGAGAGTAGGAACTGAGATGGACCTCACTGAGAACCCAAAACACGAAAGGCCGGACGACTTGTTATAATTCTATTAGTAAGTATAATGGGTTCACATTCACAAGGGAAAAGGTATCTGTAGCTACGCACGCGGGGCTTCCCTCTTCATCCTGATTGTGTTTTGCCGCAGAAAGTGTGACGCGTCAGTACAGGAAACCCATCACTGGCCTCTGAGTCTCCTCACGGCAGCTGCCCTGGGCAGCCTCTCGTCTGGGGCTGTGGTTTGATCCAACCTAGAACCCACCTAGAGGCACATCTCCAGCCCCATCTGCCTGCAGCTTTCCTGGACTTTAAACTAACTTTTCACATTTATTGTCCCTCATATTTTTACTCCAGAATCCTATGTGTAAGGGCAGGAAAAGGGTCTCTTTTTCCTTGCTGTGGCCTTCCATAATTCAGGAGAAGCACCTGGCGATTAAACCCCAAGACTGCTGCCTCCTCTGATCCAAACAGCCCCTCTGCTCAGACTGCCAGATAAGCTACTCTCAAGGCTACATTCGTGCATCCCCCTCCTCCTTGCTGTTTTTTTTTTAAAAATATATTTTATTGATTTTTCACAGAGAGGAAGGGAGAGGGATAGAGAGCTAGAAACATCGATGAGAGAGAAACAGCGATCAGCTGCCTCCTGCACACCTCCTACTGGGGATGTGCCCGCAACCAAGGCACATGCCCTTGGCCGGAATCGAACCTGGGACCCCTGAGTCTGCAGGCCGACGCTCTACCCACTGAGCCAGACCGGTCAGGGCCTCCCTGCTGTTTTCACAACTCAGGGATCACTCACACCAAGGAGTCTCTAGAGTAGCAAGTGCCCTTCCCCCTCCCTTTCAGCCCAAGCTTCGCCCTTTTCGAATTCTTTGCAACTTTTGTGCTGAGCGTGATTCGGGCTTGGGAAGAATACTGATAAGACACCTCCTTAGGACATGTGCCAGACTGTCTCCTGGAGAGCAGACTGACTTTTGACAACCCCAGATATCTGCTCAACCACAACAGCTTCCCCCTCCCTTCCTTGTTGCTTAGCAACAGACTGTGTTTAAAAGAGCAGGCTGCTCTTGGTTCCTGTCCTGTATGAACTAGCAATTCACCAGCCTTTCCCTTCGGGGAAAGTAAAACCAATGTCCTCCCTCCATCTCTCTCTTCTCTCAGCTGTGAATTCTTTCACAGCCGGCCTCACCGCCAAACCCTGACACTATGTCCCACTGCCTGCTTGACATTCTGCTTGGCTGGAGCTTTGCTCCAATTCCCGGGTTTTCCGATAACTCTCTAAAGTTAATATTTGGCAAGCCCATCTTCCCCCAGCCCTTGCTCCCCTGTGCTCAGCAGCCACCCTTCTAGAATCCAACGGTGACTATTTTTTTAAAGAGCTACAGCCATCTTAACCAAAACTGCTTTGAAAAGACCGAAATCCCACTTCAGGTGGAAGCACATTGGACTCTCCATGAGAATCCTCTTCACGTGGCAATAACGTTACTTGGCATTCAAACCCTGTTTCCTTGGGCACTGCGTGCTCCGGGGTCTCCCTGAGCCTTGGGACTCGGGTTAGAGACTCAGCCACGATTAGAGCCGCAGGAACGCAGAGCGCGTCATCAAAAATGACAGGGAAAGTGAAAACAAGACAGTGTTCGAACACGTTTCTGAAAACGGAGTGGGCCGCCTGGGTGTGTCCAAACATCTCTGCTAAAAACAACCGCCGTCCGGTCTCGTTCTACCTGACAAAGAAGGGAGGGGCCCGCGGAGCTCTGCTCCCGCTCCCAGGGGTCCTCGCCGGCCACTCGGAAGAGGCACACAGACACCTCGCTGGGCCTCGTTAGGAACGCGCTGCGGTCCGTCCCTGTGCGATCGGGATACCGGCCTCGGGTGGGAGAAATGTTAAGCTTCTCTGCTGCACAATCTTAGAAGCAAATGGCAGTGGGCGGGATGCTTTTCCTAATGGCGCTCAGGGCGGGAGGGTCATAATTTAGTCCACGTTCAGGGAGCCGCGGTGGGAGCATTCGGGGCGCTGAGCTCATTGGCTCCTCAAAGGCCAAATACCAGTAACTTGGTCGAGTCTCCCTGACCTTAAAAACATTCAAACCTGTGAAGAATGTTGTGAGTTTCTTTGAGCCAAACTGTTGCCAGGAAGCAGATTCTCAATGGATTGGGATAATGCTCCGAAGAATGGCGGCTTTTTCATCTATTTTTATACATTTACAATGAAAGGAGGGGGCGTAGGTGGGTTACAGGAAATCCATTGGTGATGGATTAGGGAGGTGGGAGAAAGCACCGCGGGGAAACCTCTGGGATTGGATAGAAAGTAAAATGATGGACACATACTTAGGTGGGTGCAGGACAGTTAACAGTCAACAATTAACAGGATAACAGTAACAACGAAGGAATCTGTGGTTTCTGTCCTGGTGTCAGGCACATTAGGCTGTGCCCCAAGGGGGCTGGGAAAAGGGAAGTTACATGCTACCCAGACATTTCACAGGCATGTTATCTTAGATGCAAAAAGACAGATAGGCTCAGTTAAGGTAAAGGCTGACCTTGTCAGTGAAGGTACCGGCCTAGGAGGTGACCACCCACCGTCACTGCTTTAGATAAAGTGTAAATTCAGACCATCCTGGTGGTGACTGTCGGTCTGGGTTTGCAGGGCCGCCAGGCAGGCCTCCCCTGAGCTGCCAGGTCAGCACGTGGCCCTTTCGTCCACAAGAGAAAGACCCACCTCGGGGAGCTTCTTTTTGCACCGAAAGAGGTTACACATGTTACGTCCGTGCCCTTCCTGTGGACTTGATTCCTGAACAGCCCCCTGCTGGTTCCCGCTCCCAAAACAGGAAACTTTCGAATGTATACTGGCGGGACCACAGCGTGCGGAGCCTCGTGTACGGTCAACACCCCAATGAGCTGCCGTCAGACGCGCCTGCATCCGGACACGCCGTGATGCTGAGCGCCGGGCGTCCCCAGGCAGAGGGTGTGCGGGCCAGGACGGTTTTCTTTGGTTCTGAATGTAGGTGAGTCACGTTGTGTGGCGAGCGGCTACAGTGTTTGGACAGGTTCAAGCATGGACTGATGAGAGGGCACAGTCCTCTCATGGCCACATGCAAGTCCCAGCTTGGAGGGCAGAGCCCTCCCAGCACAATTATAGCCAACAGCTATAGTTGTGAGCTTGAACCTATGGTCCGAACACGTGGCCCCACGTGCCTGAGTGATGTGGGCTTGATAGAGTTCAGGTGTATGTAATTGAGTAGGATCGAAATGTTGTAAACATCTTGACTGCACCCTGACTTTGCCTCCGGGAATCTGCTATAAAATAAAGACTCGGCGTGTAGTCCGTGGCGCTGTCTCTCCATCTGGGTCCCACCCAGACCCAGCTTTCTTCTCTTGCCTGTCTTTTCTCCATCCTTCACCGCCCCTCTCAGGCTCACCCTTGGCCGTGCTGGCGCGGCACTACGTTGTTCGAGTTCGCAGATCTGGAGTGTGAAACTCTGTCTATCTTGATAGAGTGTACGTGTGTTCACTCCCAGGGCGCCCCCTCCGCCCACCCTGGGAGACCCTGTGGTCCAGTCCAGGACATAGTTCTGTCTGCACCACAGGGAGCTGCGTTCTCATCCCCACACCAGGCGTTTGCTTCATTCATTTCGCCCGTTTTTATTCTAATAAATGGACCCAAACACCACGGGCACTTCTGTGCTTGGCATCTTCACCCTCCGGCTTTGAGACCAGCCACGTAGTCACGGGGAGCAGCGGCTGCCCCTTTCCTTGCAGGGTGGTACCTCGTGACGAGAACAGGTGGAAACTGTCTGTTCTCTCGTGGGTGGGCACCCGTTTCACCCAGGGTTGGGCTAATGTGAATGAAGCAGCGATAACCGTTAGGCTGTGGTGTCTGGGTGGCCATCAGCCTCCATCCCTGTTGGCTGTGGCGCTGGGAGATGCTGTGTGTCGGGGTTCGGGGTTCTGACGAGCTTCGCTTTTCCTGGGCAGGAGCCCTTTCTCAGGGGTGTGAGTCCCTGCCTCTCCCGCAGCGCTGAGTGTCTGGTTAGAGACGCTTCCGGGGCTAAGCCAGAAGGTAGAACCACATAAGAAAACAGTGACTCGGCCGGTTTTCTAAGCAATGCAAACCGTAATCACAAAGGAAACACTGATCATTGGAGTCCAATCAAAGCAAGAACTTCTGCTTATCAGAACAGGACCACAAAACCCGGAGAGCATGATGCTGAGTGAGATAAGCCAGTCGGAGAAAGACAAGTGTCCCAGGATCTCACCCATAAGTGGAATCCAATGAACAAAATAAACTGACGAACAAAATAGGTCCAGAGACTTAGAAGCATGGGACAGGCTGTAGAATCTCAGAAGGAGGGTGAGAGAGGGAGGGAAGGGG